GAGTTTAAATTTAATTCTTGTCTGTAAATAGCAACACTACACATATTTCTAATCATCCACAAACCTAAATCAAATTTATGGATAACTTATAAACTAGTGTGAAATTATACATCAAATAAAGTTAGAATACTTTGTAATGGCTCAATGAAGTGTAAACAACATATCTTATGATTTATTTGATAGATAGTCATTAATTAATGTCATTCATTGCAATTTGCGTTTTATGATAAAATTAGAAGGAATGAGAGAAATTTATGGGAAATGAGAGTTTCTTGAAATTTTTTGTAAATTATTTCAAAAATATTTGAATACACAAATTAATTCGTTTACAATGAATGGCTGAAATGAGAAATAGTAATTGGTACTCAAAAACTTACGTATTCTTAAGCTATTTTACTGCAGAAGAATGGTTTATCAACTAATTACCACTTGTTAAATTACTATTAAAATTATTCACAGATATAATTTAACATTACTACCAATCCTAAAGAACATAGTTTGATAAATATTACTATATAAGAAATCAATTTTACTTTTAATATATAATATAAAAAACTCTTAATTATCTATATTGATCTTTCAAATAGATTAATAAACAATTATAACTATATCAATGGCTGATCAATCTTTTCGATAAAAAAACATTAGCGCATGGCGCATATTTAAAAATTTGTCTAATATTTATTTTCATGACTTACATAAAGTTGATTCCTTACTCAAATTATATTCTTTCAAGCTATTAGATTGAAGGAAAGTATTTGCAGGAGAGATTATTCCAGAGATGACTAAATAAAATTGCTGTCAACTTGTCAACTAACTATATTCATTCTATCTAATCCATTTGTGCGATTAGCATTAATCAAAGTTATCCACTCAAACATACATGACGCAAACGCTTAAGTTAATTATAGTTGAAAAATCATTTTGCAATTTGTGCTAATCTACTTGTCTTGCAAAGAAATGGATCAAATGAAAAATTAAGCTTGCAACAATGAAGTTCGTTTTATATTTTTAAAATTTTTAATTAAAAAAAATCATTCAAAATTTTATGACAGAAAAGTTTTGTTAAATTTTTTCTGGAGTAATTATAAATTTTTGTTAAATTTTGCAATGAATAAAATATAAAAGTAAATCAGATGAAATAGCTAATTTACATTTAAATGTGATTTAATATAAGCTATCAATTCATATGTAACTTTGACATATTATTCAAAATGAAAAGAAAGAATTCGATGTAATTTAAGTTTTTTTACTTAGTTCGTTCTCTCAAGTTTCTAAATAATTTAGATTTTTGATATTACTATTGTAATTTCTGAAAGATAAGTCTTAGCATAACTTTTGGGTTAGGATATGTTTTATTCAAAACGTAAAGAATGAAAGGAAAAAGCTGATAACCAAATAAAAGTCTTAGTTAACGTGGCGTGAAAAGTCGAAGAGGATTAAAAGGATAAGGTAAAAAATAAGGTGTCTTAATGGCCAAGATGGAATATTCAGCTCTTTATCAGCTCAGCGACATTACCGCTCCTTAGCAAAAATTCTTTGTGAACATAAATATCTGTAGTTGCCACCATGTCACATACCTAATCTGATTACCAAGTAAGGTCAGTCCACAGTAAGGGGGTCATTAACGACTTGTATATGATATTTCGATGCAGCTACTTGGCTATGTTATAAGTCATCGTTTCTAGGCCGTAGAGCCATCCGAAGATATTCCTTTGTTGCTGAAATTAAAGATGGAGCAATGCTATTAGTAATAATCAATTCAAATAATCATAATAACTTATTTGCAAGGCTTTTATTTACTAATCAATTAAAATGCTCGCTTATTTCAGTCATTACTACAATTTGGCTCAAAATCCCATAAAGAATAATTATTGTTCAATTAATGAGAGTTATTAAAATGCTCTAAATGAAATCAACAAACTACTTTAAATAGCTAAAACAGCACAGACTACTTTGACATTGTAATGAAAACTAAAAGTTATCAAACTATAATTGAGGAAAATTCTCATTTCAAACATCGAACATGAAAATTTGAAGTTTTCGTTTTCTGTTCATTTATTTTTTTAAGTTCACTTTTTCATTTTAAACTCATTTCTTCGTTTCTTATTTTCCACAACAGAGAAATAAATTTCTGCTTATTTTCTTGAAGCAATTATTGAAAGTCAGGCAAGAATTTTTGACCACAGATGAATTGATATTTTGCTTCAATTTTTTTCAAGAAAATTTATTAAAGTATTTGATGGTCAGATATTATACTTAACCTGAGAGATACCTATCAAAAATCATACTCGTTACTTCCATCATATATAAAAACCAATATGAGCATAGCAACTGCATAAAGTATTGCTGGTAGAGTCATTATTGGAATATAAAGCATTTTACTCATTTTTCGATATCTGCAAATAACCATTACAGTTCTGAACTTTAGAACTATTATTCGAATTTAAAACAGCAAAGTAAATAACTTAGCATTGCCATTTGAGAAACACAACTATCAGTAAACAGTAAGCTAGAGAGATTGAAGTTACTTGTACTGCCCAAATACTTAACTTTAAAGGTCTTAAAATGGCCATGGCTCGATCTATGGTAGTAATCAACTACCAGTAAGCAGTAAGCAGTAAGCTAGAGAGATTGAAGTTACTTGTACTGCCCAAATACTTACTTTAAAGGTCTTAAAATGGCCATGGCTCGATCTATGGTAGTAATCAACTATCAGTAAGCAGTAAGCAGTAAGCTAGAGAGATTGAAGTTACTTGTACTGTCCAAATACTTACTTTAAAGGTCTTAAAATGGCCATGGCTCGATCTATGGTAGTAATCAACCATCAGTAAGCAGTAAGCAGTAAGCTAGAGAGATTGAAGTTACTTGTACTGCCCAAATACTTACTTTAAAGGTCTTAAAATGGCCATGGCTCGATCTATGCCTATAGGTAGTAATATAATCATTGAGAAATTCATGCCAAAATTGGGTAATAACTGTATCCAAATACATTTCCATAAAGGTATGGAAGTGATTCCAGTAAAAATAAAGTATGCAAATGGAATATGGCCGATTTGATGAAGAATGTCACCAAATGCGCCTAATGCTATTAATATATTATTGACATTGTGCAGATGCCTGGAATTTTTTGTAAATTTAAAAGTGAGCAAATTTTTTTTTTAAACTTTGAAATGGAATACACCAAGAGATGCAAAAATTAGTTACTTAAAATATTTTAAAAAATCTTTCAAATTCACATCAAATTATATAAGCAAATTGATGAAACTTTCCTTTTCAATTTATATTTTCTCTCTGTTTCTTCTCTGAAACATTTACTGAACCTTTTAAATTCCTTATTTTGATCTTAACCAATTTTATGTCACATAGCTATCACAGATCAATATGATAATGATCAATATTATATGTCACTTTTTCACTTACTTCAAACATTAGCTACTATCAAAATTAATATTCTATTGCTTTAACAGTCTAATGGCGAAAAAAAACAAACTTAATATTTATTATTAAAGTTATCATTTAGCTTAGAAATTAAGAAGCTATCATTTATCAAACACGGTTTTAAACAGATTTTAATGTTATAATAGCTCAGCTAATTCCTTTTTTAATTTTAGCGACAACAAAATATTGTAAACTAAATTTATTTATTGACTTTTTTAGAAGTGAAATTGTTTATGATGGAAAAGAAATGCAAAATTGTAACATTCATCCCTTTTCTCTCCTTTTTAGAATGCGGAATTACCGTTTTATGGCACAAAAAACTTTTGATCTAATTGCCGAAAAAATCTAAATAATTTAATGTGTTGTGTTGGAATAGTTTCTGTATTGAATCCATGTTTCTCGAATATTCCTTAAATATATATCAAACTGTTTCAATTTTATATCTCAGAGGAAAAACATAAACTTTGTGTATTGCTTGAAATGTTGTAAATTGCTCTCAATTTTATTACTCTAACATTCAAACTTATATTTTACTGTTAACATTTCAGCTTGTAAATCCATCGTTTCAATAACTTCCCATTGCAGTGTTCCACTTTGACAGTTACCATTGTAACAAACGTTATAAACCAACTCCCACTATATAAAGAGTAAAGATCATCTGATAGCTCTCAATTTGTTGTAAGCTAATGCTCATTGTACAAAAGGAGTTGAAACATTATTTGGAGGTTTTGGTTTGGTTCATCTCAGCAACACTCACTCACTCAGTTCACTTCACAAAAGCTGACATCAGAGGTGACACACCAGTTGCCGCCACAATGGCGAAGCTATAATCTAATGAACAAAGGCTATTGTTTTAAATGATTTTAATCCACTTTGTAACCTTAACACCCATAAAATCCCTCCCAATTTTCTTCCTTGAAAAACCATTGTTTGGTATGGCTCGGTTGCGAGGTGTCGAGCTTGCTTGTATCTTTAAATGTTTTATAATTAAGTTACATTTCTGTGTTATGTATCAATTCATTATTGTAATGTTGTATAATATTTAATGTTAATCTAAGGTTTAATTACCCAAGTTTGAGTTTAAGGTTTGAATAATAAAATGTTTCACGTACACGTACACAGAACGGAACCAGTACAAATTCGAGATTATCGAGGACAAAGAAGTCAACAATCTGAACCATCAAGAAAGGAAGCTACTTTGTTTCACAAAGAAACAGGGCAGTAAGAAAGAAATTCTAAATTTGCTTTACACCAGTAACAGTAACACTGTTGAAGCGAAAGGGAAGCGACAGTTGAGAGAAAGTGTGAAAATTTGACGAATATTTGATGGACTGTTGGTGTAGTAATATTCATTTTATTCATTTTTTTTTCTCTTGTGTAACAATAAAGTTAGCGAAGTTATAACAACAAAAATATCCATTTCAAAACTTTTCGTACATCGATTAACCTTCAAGAAGCGATATGGAATGCTGCACGATGATCTCATTAATTTATTGCCAATATTCCCACTTAATCGTCTCCATGGGATATTGTTTGAAAATGTGACCAAATGCGCCAGATTAATGCGACAAACGTCTTGAAAGTTCTAATCGGTAAACTGTTGTTACTTGCTGCATTTTATGTTTCGTTTGCAAATTTACGGTATTCTTTAGACATGGAAGCTTCTTGAATTGTCTTCTAAATGCGTTCCGATATTCTTCACTGCAATATTTTTTATGATCACAGCAATAGATCCAATCTATCAATATTGTCAGTCACTGAGGTATGCTCCAACATAAAACGTAAATATTTGAAGTTAACATTTCAACATTTTTTTTTTTATTTTTCACAAGAAATTTCAGTTAATTTTTACCTTCTCCAGTAGTAAAGTAACCAATTGAATGAAACGCTTGTATTAATAAATACTCCCGCATAGCATTCTATATAAAACGTCGCGATTTTGGAAATATTCAAGAACCTTCCCATCATATAAATCGTCGTTGTTGCTAAATGTCCCAACCCAACAAATGCCACTGTTATCTTTAATGTTTGTAACAGTTCGAAATTTCTAGTTGCTGAAATTAGAAGTAAGGTAGTACTTCAGTTATTGTTAATTAATTAGACTCTACCATGGCGGTTGAATAGTAAACAGAACAAAAAATATTTTCGGTGACATAGAACATCCAGGTTAATACTTTGTTTACATGTCTTTTGTTAATTATTTAAATAATTTACATATTTCAGCCTTTACGATAATTCGACTAAGTACTGCATAAAGGGTGATTGTTGCTAAATTAAGAAAAGTTGCCAAAATGCCCCAAATCCAATCGAACTGACCACTGTATATTGCTACCACAACACATACTACTTTGTCACTGCAAGTTAAATAGAAAGACTCAAAATGATAATTAAAAAAATCAAATTTCAATATATTTTCAATAAATATTTCAAGCATCGAACATCTCACATGCTTCTTTTTCTTTTAATTTAGAAATTTTGTTACTTTTATCTTTTTCCCTTCTTAATAACAAGGTTTTTTTCAGGTTCATTTCACGTTTCACTCTTTCTTTTCTTATTTTCCATAACAGTATGCAAATTTCTGCTTATTTTTCTCAATGAAATGCAGGAGTTTTCTCACAAATAACGAGTAACTTCCAATTTCCATTTGCATTTGCATTAGTTTTCTCAGATAAAATTTCTCTGATAATCACAGATTAAACATTTAATTCGAGAAAAACCTGAAAATGTAACTTACTCGTTATTTATGGCATATATACAAGCCAATATAAGTATAACAATTGCATAAAGTGTCGCTGGTATGGTCATTAATGGAATTGAAATTCTCTTCCTCATTGTTCGATATCTATAAGTGACCATTACAGTTTGTTATTTAGAAAACATATTGGAGTTCGAAAGAAGGCAACAAATAATTTAGTTTTGCCATTAGCAAATTTAATTAAATTTACTTATTCTGTTCAAATACCTTAAAGGTTTTAAAATAGCGATGGATCGATCTATGCCGGTAAAAAGTAATATAACCATTGCAAAATTTAGACCGAAATTCGGTAATAATTGTATCCAAATACATGTCCGCAATGGTGTAAAAGTAATTCCAGTAAAAATAAAATATGCAAGTGGAATATGGCCCATTTGATGAAGAATATCACCAAATGCGCTCAATGCTATTAATATATTATTGACATTGTGCAGGTTCCTGAAAGAATTTTTACAAATTATAAGAATTTGAAACATTTGAAACTTTTAGACTTGAATTTGGAATATGCAAAAAAGGCTCAAAAATTTGCTGTGCAAAAGATTGTAAATGTTTGTAAAATCTTTCAATTTTCCATCAATATTATCTCTCCGTTTTCCCTTTAAAATATTCTCTGATTCTTTTGATTGTTTATTTTGATCTTAAAATCTCATAAATTAATGGCACAACCGTTTTATGCGTCTCATTCCCTCTTCATAAAATTATATTTAAATATTGAGGAAAGGTACAATCATCAATGATAAAGCTATTAATGTTGAATATTCAATGATCGCAAGAAATCAATCAATCAATTAATTGATCAATAACATACCTGCTCAGAATAGTAATTATAATGAGCGCAGTATTGCCAGCGAATCCAATTAAAAGACAAAATAGAAAAAAGCATACACATGGTATAACTGGTACCAAAATAGCCATTTTAGCACATAAACTAAATGAGTTTAAATTTAATTCTTTTCTATAAATAGCATCACTACACATATTTCTATATCATCATAAACTTAAATCAAGTTTTATGCATAGCTTTTATAAAATAATGTGAAAATACTTTGAATTCAGCTAATATATGCATATGAATGAAGACTTGTGGGAAAGTATTGGAGCCTATTATACTTGTGGGCGCCTATTTACCCATTAAACAAAGTAATGGGCAAATGAAGTAAAATCATCGTAAGTGTAAACAATGTCTCTTATGATTTATCTGAGAGATAGTCTGAGAGATTCTGATAGATATCTGAGAGATTCATTACAACTATATATCATTGCAATTTGCGCTTTATGATAAACGTAGAAGAAATGAGCGAAATTTTGTGGATAGATGGAAATAAGAATTTCTTGAAATTTTTTGTAAATTATTTCAAAAATATTTGAGCAGAATTATCCAACAACTTACTTGTTACTCAGCAATTACTTTGATTAATAATTACACACAAACTGATTACGGTGAATGGTTGAATGAGAGAATTAATAATTAATAGTTACTTGTGTAGTATGAATATTCATTCATTTATAAAATACATATGATATCTTTGTCAACTACCTACTGACTCAGATAACTTGTTATTTGTTGACATTTGACAAAGATGTAGGAGACAAATTGCTGATATAGATTTGAAGTATTTTATTTAGCTAAAATTCTTCTTTCATTTCTTCGTTTTCTTTTTTCTTCATGATAAATTTCATTCAGTCATTTACTAAAAAGTTTTGATTTAAAAATGAAATTTATTATTTAATTATAATAAACTTAAAAATGAAAACAGACAGATTATTAAGAATTCATTTTCAATTATTTGTTTGTTTTCTTTGAAATGAATGCTAGTTGATTATTCTTTTTTTTTTTTTTTTTTGTTAAATATTACTTTACTTTGTTAAGAGACAAAAATAAAATGTTTTAACTTTAATAATGTGCAATTTATTCTTCTATTATTTCTGATACTATCATTATGATATTAAATACCTAAATAAAATATTTCAAAAATTTGCTTTCAATTTATAATTATTTGATTACGAATAATATATTATTTATATATGTATTTAGTTTTAATTTTGTACTATAATAAATTGATATAATTACGAAAACTTTAATTACATTTATTTGATTTATAATTTTTTAATATTATATGATCGCATTTAACTGTAATTACTTACAAATTAAGATAATAACTTTTATAATTTAGAAATATTTCTTTAAAAAAATTATCAAGTAAATAAAGTATCAAAGTTAGAAAACTTATCAGAATTTGTTTTAAAATTTATTAATAATTTTTTTTTTTGTTGTTGTTGTTTTAAATCATTTTGTTTATTATTAATAAGCATTGTTTGCTTATTTTGTAACATTTCAAATCTCACTTTGAATGCACAAATCTTTTTCATTTATTATTTTATTAATTATAAAGCTAAAAAAAAAGCTTAATTAATTTCATTTAATTAACTTTAGTAATTCCTTTTAATGAATGATAAATATGTTTATTTTCTATTAATGATAATTAGTGATAATTAATGATAATTTCAATCAAAATATTTTTCTCATTTTTTTTGTTCAGCTAATTCTTTTTTTTTGTTTTCGTTTCATTTTTCTTTTTGCTCTAAAGTATAAATTTTATCCAATCCAATATTTACTTTCTCCAACTATTCATTCATAAGTAATCAATTTCTAGAATAATTATTGATTATTTAGATCAAATGTGAGTAGCATTTATTTACTTATATAAAATTGATTAATATCAAAATATTCTCACATTCTATTATTATTATTTTAGGTAATCAAACAGATCCAAAATATTTGAACTTGCATACTTTATTATTTGTAATTTTTCATTGCATAAGTCAGTTGCACTCAATTTTTTTTTTTCATTTTGTTTACATACTTCAGTGTTCACTTATGAATTCCAAGAAAATATACTTTGAAATATACTTTCTTATTTTACAATTTTCCTACAATTTATTCGTACCTTTTCTCTCTCTCTCTCTCTCTCTCTCTCTCTCTCTCTCTCTGCTTTATCCTAATACTTCTTTCTCTTCGTTACATTACTAATTCCATTGTCACATCGCTTTTGTGACAATTCGATTTCGTTATTGCTTCAGCTTCTTCCTCTTTTTTAAACAGTTTGTTTAGTTCGCTCTCAATTGTGTGCTTATTATTTTATCAAAATTTCACCGTTAAATAATATTTCAGTAATTAATTAATTAATTTTATCAATTAAATTATTTGCCAAAATTATTTATTTAGCTATTATTAAGTATAATTGTAAAAATTGATTATTATATTAATTAAAAAATAAAAAATTATTCATTATTTATTATTAATTAACTAAATTTCTCATTCATCTCAATGAAAATTCTATTATTTGATAAAATAAAAAATATACATTTAAATTCAATTTTTCCTTTTTAATTTTATTACTTTTATATTATTTTTAAGAAAATTCAATTTTAATCAAAAATTTCAAAAATTTAATTTTGATCAAAACTATTTACTATGATATTTCTAAAAATAAATGAAAGTCATTTGATGAAAAATATTTCGCTAAATATTCTGATAAAATTTTAGAAATGAACGAAGCAAATAAAATTTTTGTTATATTGTTGAATCAGCTGGAAAACGAATGTTCGAATTATTTAAATTCGAATATAATATAAAAATTTTTATTTGTTTTTTCTTTTCTTTTTTTTCATTTCTTTTTAAAACTGATCAATCATATATTTTAATATTTTGTATATTAAAATAATAGCAAATATTATTTGTTATTTATTTATTTTTTTTTGATCAAAAAAATTGAATAAAATAGGAAATCAAAAATTATAATATATTTATTATTTGTAAAAATTTTTACAGAAAACAATGAAAGAACCTTGTTTTCGATGCAAACGACCAACTTATTTTAATGATAAAATTGGTCCATTAAAGGATGGTGTCCTTTTTCATAAAGTAAGTAAAAGTAAGTAAAAGTAAAAGTAAAAAAAAAAAACATTAATTTATTATTGTAAACATTATTTTATTTGTTTTTTGTTTTAATAAAAATTTATGCATTTTCTGTTTTTGCTTTTTTTTAAAAAATTATTATTTTTTCTTTAATCACGGAAAACATTTAATTATTTAATCAATTCTGAGTTAATTTATAATTATTTATTAATCATTATTAATGTATATTAATAAAAATTTCATTATCTTAAACATTTCATTTTTTAATTTTTTTTTTTCAAAAAATAAAATTTCTTTTAATAAATCATTTATGACAAATGATTGTTTTATTTCCTTTAGGGAGTAATTTAATGCTTTATTTCCTCATTTTAATTCTTTTCTCTTCCTTTTTTAAAAAAAAATTTGTTGATTGAATTGAAGTTAAAGTTAAAAATGATAAAATGATAATTGCTGGTTGTTTGGATGAAAAAAATTCATTGGCTATTTCATATTTAAAAGTTTATTTCATGTTTCATCGACTATCTATTTTAAATAAATCTTAAATAAACGTTCATACTACATTTTTAATTAATATTTCGATTTTAAAAAATAACCATGTGCATACGTTTCAAATTTAAATTTGAATTTTTTATATCACAATATTTCATCAAACTTATCCATTTTTTTTAAAGGAAAAATGAAACATTATCCTTCACTTTTTCTTTTAAAATTTTGAGTCATTTCGAATAAATTGAAATTTAAAAACGAAATTGAAAATGAATAGAACAAATAAATTTAATTATAAAAACAAAGCAATTTATTGCTATCAAAAAAAAAACAAAAGAATTTAATTTTAATTTTTCTTTTTTAGAAAGGAATTTAACCTTTCTTTTTTTTTTTATTTTAAAGAATTTAATTTTTAAGGGATGTTTCAAGTGTTGGATATGCGGATCACGCTTATCATTGAAGACTTATCACAATAACAGGAATGATACGCAAGATCTTGAGGTAATAAATGATAATATGATAATATACTTATTCCATTTAAGATTTAGAAAATAGAAAATTTTAATTTAATGTTAAAATTTGTATAATAAAAGAAATTTTATCATTTTTTTCTTCTTCTTGAAATCCATCTTACATTTGTTTCTATTATAGTGAATGTACTTAAAATGAAAAAATTTTTTAGAAATAAATAGCTAATAAATAGAAAAATGAATAGATTGAAAAGTTAAACATTTAGAGAAGTGAGAGAAAAAAAATTTTTTTTTTATTTTAAATTTTAATTACTTGTTATTCAGTGATAATTTTAGGTATATTGTGCTGGACATGTACCAACACCTGGACCACATGATCCAATACCACATCGATCCAATCTTTTATATAGTCCAAAAACAAAAGGTGAATATCCGTACAATCTGATGAGGCCAGCTGGTCCATAAATAATTATTATCTGAATGCAAAATGTTAAATGATAAAAAATTTTATAAATAAAAAATCAAAATATAATTTTCCATTATTGTACAACTTAATGTGAAGTGTTAATTGTAATAGATTTATGAGATAATTAAATCAGTCATTTGTGATAAAATTTTCAGAATAATAAACTTGAAAAATCATAGATCATTAGAAAATTTGAATTAGATATTCATTATCTAAGTATTTTTTGTTTATTTCAGTATTATATTAATTTAGCACCACTACACTGATAATATTGTTCAATCTTGGTGAAATTTCTTCACTTTTTTTTTCATCCATATTTTGCAGTGCAACAAAATGTTACTTTTGGATATTTAGGAATTTTTCAGTTAAAAAGGATTGAATCTCAATCTGAAAAGTTGAAATTATTTTAATGAAAAAAAGAAAACGTATCCCAGATGAATATCTCATGCAAAACTGATCATTTCATGTTTTAATGAGTAGTATATTTGATAAAAAATCATTATGCATCATTAAATTTTGTGAAGATCACTTAGCTAATTTGTTTATATCAATAATCGATTATTATTTTTATGAAAATAAATAAATAAGATGGGAGAAAAATGACTTCGTTTTTAAGCAAAATTATTTCTTAGCTTCTTAAAACTAGCTTAAATTTAACTTCTTAAACTTCTCCGTCAATTACAATAAGCTCATTTTCACACGTTACGAAAATGATGTCCAGAAATGCAAACGTCGCACAATTTTTTTTCGCTTCTATTCTCTCTAATTTCTTTCTCGACCATTCAGCAAGTTTACATTCTTTGCACGGTAAAAAGTTCTAATCGAGACTGAATATGCACATGCAATACTAAAGTCCACCTTCTTGATGCAACAATCATTTCTCACCTTAGTTCCATTTTTAGGTCAAAAATTATTAATCGAAGTGGAAAATAGATTGATCAGTTTTTCATCAAAATTTTTAATGGTTATATTTAAAAAGCATACAACGTAAAAGCATTTATCAAATAGTAGTGGAGCAATATAATTTTACACATTCAAAAAAAAAAAGTTATACAGTGTAAGGATTGAATATTTCGATCCAGTAACCATCCGGATCCTGAATAAATGCTAACCCTTTCATACGACCATCGTCCGGCTTCTTTACGAAGTTAACACCTAATTCCTCGAAACGTTTACATGCCGCATATACATCCTTTACTGCTATTCCAATATGACCTGAAAAAATATTATTATTCCTCTTTTGCTGGCTTTTCTTCTACGCAACCTCTACATTTTTTATACAAAAGTCGAATTTTTCCATAAATGTTTGATAAACAGTGGCACAACCTTAATGTGATATCCTTTATAATTTAATTAAATATCACAGTTTTCAAACGAAATCCTCGCCACATTTTAATACCATGACAAAAAGGAAGTCGGCACTCCTACTTCTTCCGTACTACTCATTGTTCTTTAAAATGATATCATGCAACAGAACTCACCAAAACCACGTGGTTCTTTATTTCCATTGTGATAACTAAAGTTTGGATCGTTCTCGGTACCCCAGTTACTAAAAACATAAACTGTAATTGAATCAAACCATTAAATTCACACCTTTTCTACAGTGAAATCCATACTTGAGAATGATAAATTCAAAATGTGAACAGATATAATGCAATTAAATGAGATATAAATTAAACGAATAAATTAATCAAATTGTAAATGCAATAAAGTTACTGAGTTAATTCGATCGTTGCTAATGTCGAAAGTGCATAGCGTTTCTGCTCTATAGGATCGCTAGGAATTTCTGCTGCCGGCTTATAACCCACGAAATACAAGGAGAATTTTCCTTCTGGGAAATCCATCTGTTTCAGTAATCTAAAATATTAACTGTTTAAAGACTTTAACTGTAAAAGAATATTTGAGAAAATGAACAGCAAGAGCTAAACGAACCTCATTCCCAGAATATTACAATAAAATGGCAATGTTTTCCGAGGATCTTTAATACGAAGCATCGTCTGCTGGAAATAAAAATCTTTCGTTTCCGGTGGCGTTTCCTTTACCAGCGACTTGATCTGAAATTATTTCTTTTACAAAAAGAGATAAACTTTTTTTTTCTTTTTTTAGAAAACCAGAAAATTTTTGATATACAATAAATTATTGCCACGAATATCAAAAAAGGAAAAACTGAATACTATATGCAAATGTACTTTATACGTTCAAATCATTTGACAAGAATTTAACAGAAATGTCAAATAATATATATACTTCGTTAGCTGGGATCGGTCCGGCAACAGTTGTGCTTCCTCCTGATTCGCACTGATTCGAGCCCATACTACAAAAACATTGATTTACGATTTTGACAACACCGAAAAAAAAAATCTAAGCCACAGCGTTACGCGAAATATCGATGATATATGTCTGATGACAAAATTAACACCAAAGAGACAATAACAAATGAAAAAAACATAGTTATTTAACAGGACTGCATTAAGCTAAATTTCTTTTTATATTAAATGAATGATTTCACTCATCCCAAATATAACTCACTTATCCTTTTTCTTTCGTGATAAAATTCGCCTCCTTACCCTTCTCCTACCCTTATTTTCTCAAACTATTAAATTTTACAAGCGATATCTAAGATATTTCACAGCATTATACAAATTTCTTTAACTCACTAAGCTATATTTTCGTTCTACAATAACAGACTTACTTGGTCTGTAATTCTTATCTCTATCACTTCGGATTCGAGCGTAGAGTATATATGATGTGATAATTAAGGCGTAGACAGCTGGAGACTGAAAAATACAACAAAGAAAATGACGAAATCTCGTTAATAACACTTTCACACAATTATGAGGTAGTAGAAATGCTAGATATATTTCAAATGATAACGATTTGAAGTTAGTGTAAAGCATATGAAATTAATCAGTGATGTAGAATAATAGTTAAAACTTTTGCTACTATTCTTTCACAGGAATACATATCCATTAACTTATTTATTTAGTATAGATCTTTACGAATATTTTCATTATTTATTTCAATAATTCCATGCTTATGGTTGACAAGAACAAAAATATGATTGACAATTCGATAAAGTAGAATATATATATATATATAAACACTGCGAAATGAAACTCATAATGTTAAAATCTATCGTCTATACATCTAGCTAACAGTCAATTTTAAAGCTTATTAACATTATCTTTTTCCAACTAATTTTCATTCTTCTTGTTCTTAATAACTAGCAAGAAATTGCAATTAGACTACATCATAAGAATGTAAATTTGTTATAAAAAAAAAGGGAAAAAAAACTAGCGAATGAATTTATAGTACTGTCACACTATTTATCAGATCAGGACAGTATTCAGATCTGGTAGTACTTGGATATAGTAGTGTAAAATTTAATAAAGTTAATTTAATTGTTCTGATCATACTTTTATTTTTACAGTTACTATGATCAATAAATTAACCTTATGAAAGGCAAAACGTCGTTCACTTTTGCCCTTTGGGAATTTAATACGATCTGATTCTTTCCAAATAGCTACTCCTTTCCAATTTCGCACAACTGGATACCACAATGATGAGGCCAATTTCATGAAGATGACATCCGGAAAATACAAGAAAAAATGGTAACACTAATATTAAGACATTCTTTACTAGTGATCTTATAACTTGTTTTGATAACTTATCTTACACATATATAGCAATGACAACAACAATAACAGTAAAAATAACAATAACAATAGCAACGACATTAAAAACAACAATAGCAATAGTAGCAACAATAATAAAAACAGCAACTATATCGGTTACAAAAAAAGAGAACAGTTAGTGAAAATTATTTATATTATGTTTTTCCTTTATTTTTTGGAATTTATGATAACATATTATTGCATAGGATAACATTATTATAACATATTATTGTATAAGGTAACATTATGATAACATATTATAGTATAAAGTAAGTGAAGTAAAAAAGAATTCGAGAAATAAAATAAACGAAGAAAGTATGTAGTGATAAGTAATGAAGACTACAAATAATAAATAACGAATCATAAGGTTAAATTGTAAATGAAATTCCCTGAACTATGTTTACTTAGTCCAATGTCATTATCTTACATGAAATTATCAAGGAAAAAAAAAGAAAAAACTATAATGGCATCATGACATTTACCTATCGGTATGAGTTACCCATTGCAACATTTACCCACCCGTACAAGTTACCCATACCAATCATAATCAACACAAAACAAATGATGGGAACAATTTACTACGGCCCTTTGCTAGATTCCTATGCAAGATGCTTTTCCCATTTCATTTCTATATTTGTCAAATGAAGATAACTTAAAGGGAAGAGAATTTATAGTTGCTAAATTAAAGGATGGAAAGTTGGATTTTTTATGTTTTAAATAACAAATTCATTTACCTATGCTTAATTGCTTGAAAACAATTTTTTTTTAATAATGTTTGTTAATTAATTTGCAGATGTAATTTTCAATTTGATAATTATGATTCGATTACTAATATTATATTTGATATATTATATTGGTATCATAACAAATGGACAACTTGTTTACAATGATACTATATCTAACAAACAACAACAATCTATACAGGTTTCATTAATTACTATTAATTATCTAATTGTAATTATTTATTCATTGAATTTTTTGGAGGTTACTTATTCGACTTTTTTTCTTCTGTTGCATTTTTGATATGTTACAAGGGTGAGAAAAAGGAAGTATCAAAAATATCCTTTAAAAAAAATGGAATGTCGGGAAGTATCTTTTCAAAGAAGAAAAATGTCAAAAAGTATTTTAGAGCATGAAAATAACACGAAAAGAGTTAAAGTGATATGCTTCTTTAATAAACTTTGAATAAAAGATGTTTTCCTTTTTCTTGAAAATTATTTTTGAAAACGAAGAAATAGCAAGTTGATACATTCTCATAAGTATAACATATGTTACTTTTTGCAACAGTATGATGAAAATACTGAAGTCGTAAAGTTAAATTTTATTCAGTGAGCACTTTCAAATGCAAATAAGTGTTTTTGCAACTGATAATTCTTTGGTACCATTTTCTCATAAAGTAAAATATTTGCTTCTTTGACTTTTATTGCTATTTTATTAATGAAATAGCAACATGTGACTTTTTCATAAGCAGCCATTTTAATATATGAATGTATGACATATAAGATGACCTTATTGCAGAACCTTCATGAAAGGGCAATGGATGGAATACTGAACAACAGTAAACAGATGCTTGAAAAAGCAGCTGATGAGAAGCTAAGCAGTGATCGTTTAATACTGATATCTTATTTAGCTGCGATAAGTCAGTTTCCAAAAAATCTATTCGATTCGCTAAAATTATTATCTGAGGTTTGTTCCTCTAATATTACATTAAGTTACGGAAGAGCTAAAATTTTGCAGTTTGACTGTTGAAATGGATTTTATCAGAAAAAGCATTATAAGTGATTTATCTATATAGGTTGTCATCCTATTATAACTGTTTGTTTGAAAATAGTTGAAGAAAAAAAAATGATATTGATATATGAGTTAATTGCTCTCAGGCAAAATAACAACGAAAGAGTGTAATTACTTTTTTAAGGCTAATAACATTGAAACAGCAGCTGAAAGGGATAAAAATTATGGCTATCTCTCGAAATGTTTCCGAACAGACTTTGAAGGTAAGATAAAAGTAGCAATTGACTATATATTGTGGATAGTGCCATATTTGCAAATTTCTCATCAAGCACACTTTGAAGTGTGTAACATAGAGTAAAACTTTACTTACTTCAGGTTCCATGATATCCGGAGCTTTGCAAGTAGCCGTAGATGATGTGAATGCTGATCCAGAGTTACTTCCAAATCATAAGCTAATCTATACATTCAACAACACTTGTGGCGATGAGCAGCAAAGTTTTATCTCATTTCGTTGAAAAGTGAAATATTAGAATTGATAAATGATTGTTTTTCTTTTTCTTTTGCTTACTTTTCTAACATGTGTAAGTTATTTATGGAGGTTTAGGTACTCGATTTTTTATGCAACATTGGGCACAAGGTGCAAAGGTTTTCATCGGTCCGGAAATGAATTGTCGGACGGAAGCAACGATGGCAGCTGCTCAGAATTTACCTATTCTATCTTACAAATGCAAGGATGAAATGATGTCTGACAAATCCAAGTTTGTATTTTGGAAATTAATTTTGAATGAATAACCTATTAGGATATTAAAATACGTTCTGTGATGATATCATGGGAAGTTTGGGATACATTTTCTGCCATAATAATTTGAAGGTTATCATTTTTCTTCTATACATCTCAGATATCCTACATTTGCGAGAACAGTACCAACGGAAACAGAAATAACAGCTGCATTGATTGCATTGTTCAAGCATTTCGAATGGCGCAAATTTTCAATAATTTATGAAAGAAATGTAGCAAATGAGGAATTATTTCGTTCAATAAAGGTATTTCGAGCTTTTATTCGATCTGTTATCGTGTTGCAAAGTTTATGTTTACGTTAGCGAATACGTGTTGTCTCCCTCTCTGATCTATTATTTTCACAAAGAAAGGAACTTTTATGGAGTAGTGTCATCAGCTGTAAGTAACAGTGACTGAATGTATTAAATTAAAAAAAAAATGGGGTATGAAATGAAAAAAAATTTATTGTAGAGCACTATTGAAAAGCAAAATATGGGCCTAGAAGTAAGTGATACCCATTATGTGATCATAAATGTGAGTACCGTACCTCATCCATTCTCGGAAATTGAACGAAGCAACATCAAGCAAATCATTTCTGACACATATGTTTCAACTCGAAGTAAGTTCTGTCTCTATTCCCAATTATTTTGAAATCAATTGAAATGTTGTCAGACAAGGAAATTATTTTGTTTTTATCGATGCTGAAATGCTGAAAACTTATTAGAGTATTTTAAGTGATTTACTTTTGCTTTGATTCGACAATGTTAAGCTGAAATTTTGCAGTTTATCTGACATTTGGAAATGTTCGTTTGTTTCGTCGGATACTTCTAGAAATGGGAGCTCAGGGCTTAATGGAATCTGGTGATTATGCATTGATTTATCTGGATCCTGACTATAATTGGTTGAACACCTATCATGCTATGAATAATCACTTCTTCAGAGGTATTTTATGGAAATTTCTGATCTTTTTAACTACCTAGATTTAAATTAATTTAATACTTATATTCTTTAAGGCTTGAATTTTTTATAGGATTCTAAAATTTAATTCTAAATTTCCAGGATGATTTTACAAGTTTATATCCCATTTTGCATATGCCTTTTTTAGATACTCTGCTTTCGGTAAAGCAATCATGGGATGACTTGAATTCGCAGGATCGAAAGGTTGTAAATTTTTCGAAATTTGCCTTGGCAATCATTCCAACACCGGTGCAGTTAAATGCTCCAGAATTTATAGCATTTTGGCGTAAAGCCAATCATTATTTGTCATTATTTGGTGTAAAACAGAGCAGTACTACAACTTCTATTAAGGTATCTATTTTCGATTTAGAATATAAATATAAATCACACTTGCTATTTTATTCTGTTTCTATCTAAGTAAAAATAGCAAATGTTTTACAATTTTCCTTAACATAATTTAAATTTTTAGCTTTGCTTATTAACAATTAATTCTTGTTGATGCTTAAAATACTTGCCAACAAATTTGTACAATTTTCCCCATCTTTATATTTTGCAGGCAAATCGTTTTGCATGTTATTTATATGATGCGGTGAAATTATATGCATCAGCATTAACAATGGTATTAAACGAAACTGCCAATGAGCAGCTTTCCGTTGGTTATGATCCGATATCGGATGGGAAACGGATCATCGGTCATATCTTGGGACGTGTATATCGAAGTAAGTATATCAAAATAGGAGGCAAATTTCTTATAATCAATCTACTTGGACATCTTAATGTATTAACATTACTAGTGCTGGTATATTTGTTTCATTCTCTTTTTCTCATTTGTCCGATTTGGTAAACTAAATTTAGAAATGGAAAAGTTGAAAAAAACGATGTTGATTGTAGGTATACAAGGATTTGATATGCATATTAATAGCAACGGGGATGCACAAGGCAATTATACTCTATTGTCACTGCAAGAGATAGAGCCAGTATTGGATATGGATAATCCTGATTACTATCCACTCAATTATGGTCTAGGTATTTCTGCTGATTTTGTTCATGACTTTACCGGTGATCTTCCTTTGTTACGTTTCAAACGTGATATCCAATGGCCTACTGGATTTGCACCTCGTGACGAACCTATCTGTGGATTTCATGGAAAAATGTGCAAAAAAGGCATCTTTTTCAAAGTTCATGTTTAAATAGATATAAAGAATTCAGTGTTTCTTGTTTTCATGTTTTTGTTATTTGAAATTTGGTGAAAATTTTGAAAATTTGAAAATTATAATCAAATTTTGAATTTTCAGTTGACAATAATTCATTTACTACTACTAAGACATATCCTAGAAAGATATTTCAGACTGGTGGTTAACAGTTTTCCTGACAGTACTTACTGTATTCTGCTTCTTTTCGGTGGTTGGAAGTGCAATGATTTATCGGTATGTAACACAATTACATAGTTTAGGTAGAAAGGAGAAACAGTTTGCATAGTTTTTTTCTGTATTGACGTTTAATTCTCGGAGAAGGATGGAATAATTCTAGGAGTTATAAATTTGAGAAAGAGCTGTCAAATGTTTGGAAAATTGATCAACGTGAAATCGAAAAGATTGTGCAGTGCTGTGAGTCTGCTGCTTCATTATATGTTGTGGAAAATAATCAGGTAACCTTCTTCTTCATAAATTTTAATGACATTTACAGTATGTAAATTACAATTACCAAAAGATATTAAAATCCGTTATCCATCCAATCTGTTCTTTTATTTAGAATCATCGAAATGTTATTTGTGTATATGTAATGGATAACTGGTTTAGCACTGAAGAGTAAACATAGTGGTAATCAGAAGACTTTTAGATTTTGCTACAAAATGATGAGGAATGCAATCAGGAGAAACGATGGCCTGGATTATGTGGTGTTGCACTTTATAAAGGGGCTGTGGTATCAATTGATGAAATTACTTATCCTCGCAAAGTAAAGGAATTGACTCGAGCAGCCAAATTGGAAATGAGAATTATGCGTCAATTGCATCACGACAATGTTAATTCATTTCGAGGTTTCTTTTGTAAAAATATGTTTTGTAGAATTCATTAGTTCTAAAGTCATCAGTAAGGTGGCTATCATCGGTAGGATCTAGATTCTATTAAAAATTAATTCTTAATAGTATCATTAGCAATGAGATGGGGTAAGATCTCTGATAATCATGTCTGTCGTGTATATGTAATGAATAATTTCTTTCTTTTTGTTTTTCTTTTTGATAGTATTTTCTGAAAGAATCCATTTTATCTCACAATGTTTCTTCATTCAAAAGAAAAATGAATCTTCTAACGTAAGTTAATGGCTTCTTTGAAAGGTTAAAACATCCCTTAAATTGCAATTGTAAAATTTCTAGTTTTTTCCTATAGAATAATATTAGATATATAGGAATAGTGATTGGTTCCTCATCAATATGTGTAGTGAGAGAATTCTGTGCCAGAAGTTCGTTAATGGATATCCTTCGTAATCATGATCTCAAGTTGGATCATTTATTTATCGCATCATTTGTGGAAGATCTTGTAAAGGTATTTTTCAACTTGTTCTTATTTATTATTCTACTATATTTCAACTTATTAAGAGATTTAAAAAGGAAGAGTTGTTATTTATGTACTGGTTTATAGGGCATGATATATTTGCATGAATCGGATTTGGGAGTTCATGGAAATCTCAAGTCCACCAATTGCTTGATTACTAGTAGATGGGCTTTACAAATAGCTGATTTTGGATTGCACGAAATTCGGGATGGTCAAGAATGGGAAAGTGATGATTTTATGGTTAAGTTTTATAATACTCTTCAAATATGGATTCAATTTCTGTTTCTCTTCTTTTCTTACATTTTGCAGACTAATTTCATGCATAATTATGAGATTTTTTTATGTTTAGTGGGAAAATTTTCTGTGGACATCTCCGGAATTATTGCGTAAAAGTGGATGTTTGCATGCTGTTAAAGGTACTCAAAAAGGCGATGCTTACTCGTTTGGTATTATTTTGCATGAAATTATAACTCGACAGGGACCATTCATGATGCTCCGAAATAGTGATTTAACAGCCAAAGGTTATTTCTGTCTATCACATCGATCAACTTCTTAGTATTATATGAAACTGTAACAATTATATGTTAAAACTTTATCTGTGCATTCATGAATGCATAACATAATCTAATTCTTTTCTTTTTTAATTTGTTGCAGAATTCAACATTTTAACACAATAGTTATCAGTAAACATTAGAGTGATTATAAATTTATCGGAACTTATTTTGAGGCAGTTATATTATTTGAGTCTATGTGGTTACAACTGTCAATAGTCATAGAAATGTCTCTTGAATTTGAATATTTCCCGAAGAAATGAGCTCCAAAATTTTATAGAAGCGACTTCTTGATTTGATCATTGATTTATATATTATATTATTACATTATATTATTTGAAATTTCATGTTCTTAGATTTGTGAAATAATACACTGAAATTGTAGAAGTAGTGCTAAATGTACTGAATAATGTTGATTATCGGCCATCCTGTGACGGTCTTCCAGCTGCTAGTTATGTTATCAATGTTATGACGTTGAGCTGGTCTGCTATCCCAGCAAATCGTCCTGATTTTCGAACTATTCGGCACAAACTGAAACCTATGCTTGAACCAATTTATAAAAGAAATATTATGGTATGTTTAGAAAATTCATCTATAAACTCTGGAATTGATGAAAATAGAAGGTTAAACAGTAGCATTTGTATTAAAATTTATTTTATTTTTTCTCTTCTTTGAGCTGTAATCATGTATTTTATAATTTTTATGAGTTCGATAATTTTTTTCTAGCGAATTTTTAAAATAGAACTTTTAATCGTTATAATGAATTGAAGTAACTAATTTGTCAACCTTAAGGATCATATGATGGTAATGATGGAGAAATATCAAAATCAACTAGAAGATTTGGTTGACGAACGTACTACTGAATTAAGAGAAGAAAAACGGCGAACAGAAAATTTACTTCAACGTATGCTACCTGTGTATGTTTTTTGGACTGTTTATAATTTTTTTAGAGGAAGAAAATATGTTAAATTAACTCTTTCTCAGGAACATTTAATTTGAAAGAATTTAGCATTCTAAATTTCATTTATTTATTAACATTTCTCTTCTTTTCTCTTGGTTTTTTTTTTTTTTAGATTTTGATTAAAAAAAAAAAAAGTTGGTCTATTTTAAGACATTACTTAATTACCATGATTTGTAGTATTACATATTCTATTCAGTCTGCAATTTCTTCAGTTCGGTAGCTCAGCAATTGCTTGCTGGTCTTGATGTCGTACCGGAATCATTTTCTTCTGTTACTATATATTTCTCAGATATTGTTGACTTTACAAAAATCTCTGGCGTATCAACTCCTTTGCAAGTAGTGGAATTTCTCAATAAATTGTATACCCTGTTTGATCATATCATCAAGCAGTATGATGTTTACAAGGTTATTTTTATTTATTTTTATGATGCTATTCTAACATTTTTTTAACAAATGATTGAAAATATTGCCATCTTTACTAACAGCGCAAAATAATCATATAATAATTGTGAGATGAGATACCTGACAATGATTTCCTGAATATTGTTGGTATTACTAAAAAGTTGAAAAGAAAAAAAAAAAGATGAACAAAATTGTCATTGTTTAGGTGGAAACAATCGGTGATGCTTACATGGTAGTATCTGGAATGCCTGAAGCTCGTCCAGTGGAAGTACATGCAGAACAAATTGGTATGATGGCACTTCATCTCTTAGCTGCTGTTCGAAATTTTAAAATTCCACATCTTCCTCAAGAACAACTCAGATTACGTATTGGCATACATACAGGGCCATGCGTAGCTGGTGTTGTAGGCAAAACAATGCCACGTTACTGTCTATTTGGCGATACAGTGAATACAGCTTCACGTATGGAAAGCAATGGTTGTCGTAAGTTACTTACTTGACGCATTTTATATGAGAAAACTTGGTATTAAGTTAATTTAATGACACTTAATACTAAATGATAACGGTTGCAAGTAGTAAAAAATTAAACGCAGAATTTATTATTTGTTAAATTTTCTAAATTATCTTATAATAGAGAGATACAAAAGAAAATTTCATTTAGGACCTGATAAAATGAAGGAAATTTGCTAATGTGAAATAAGACATTTAAAATAAGTTCAAAATTTTTCACAAATTTAATTTATAGAAAAAAATTTTTTTTTTTTTTGACTTATATCTATTTGCTACGTTAAAGAATTTTTGCAGCTCTGAAAATTCACTGCAGTGAGCAAACACAAGATGTTTTAGCAAGGATTGATGGTTTTGAATTGAAGAAACGAGGAACGCTGCAAATTAAGGTTGATTACATCGATTACTAATAATATTGAGTTTGAAAAAAAAATTTTTTTTTCACTTGATTAATAATTTTTTTACTATTAGATGAATGAATTTGGAAATTTGATTCGCAAGTTTATATATTTTCCTAATTTGTTTTTTTTTGTAGAGGCATGATGAATACTAATTATGTAACATTTTTAGGGTAAAGGATTAATGACTACATATTGGTTAACATCTCGTAGAAATGTAACATTTGCAATAAAGGATGAATGTGAGCTGTTGTTAGACGAAAAGTTGGCGCCGAATATTTTCCCACGAATGTCTGTCCGAAATAGAAGACTTTCCACTTCAGGTACGTATAATTTATTGTAAGAATATCTTTTGTGATTTATTTCTTACTATATGTAGATTCGAATGATCATATTTCTATGATATATTATGTATATTTTATATAATTATATTACTATTTTTATTATTCGTTTAATCATAGAAATGATATCATCAAAATTGATTTTTATTTTTATTTTACATAAATTTGAGAATCAATTTTTCTTATTGTTTCACATCATAGCGAAAAGGAATATAAATGGATTCCGGATATATTTAACTCTTTTTACAGCAATCAGCAAAGGATCATCTATTTCTTTGGCAGGAAAAGAGCCATCATTATTACGTCGTATCATTGAACGTGCTACGTTTCTACGTAATGATAACTTGGAATTTTGCAGCGGCTATATCGATGAGAGTAGTAGTGTTAATAGCAAGAGACCACAAATGACGTGTTCGATTCTTCCTTACAGGTGATTTATATATATTTAATTAATTAATTAATTAGTTAATTTAAATGTACAGCACAATGACAATTAGTTATCACTATTATCCAATTTACTCATGTTACTTTCTAGTTTAGAATTGTTAAATTCATTGGATGTTTGGTGGTAATTTAGTAATCATATCAACGTGTTGCCAATAATAATAAATTAATGAGAAGTGTCATAGTTGACGAATTTAGACGGATAAATTAAAATCATAATAAAGAAATTGATAATGTATGTTGTGTTGCTAGGATCAGATATAGTTATACTTGAGATTTACCTCGATGTCTTACATTATCAGGAGATTATCGGGAGGGAAAAAAAAGTATTCGAATTGTAATTATCTTCATTAGAGTAGAGTCATATGCTATAACTATTTGAAAGGAAGAATTACTATTGCCTGGTATGTCATTGAAAATATGCAACATTATGCGTACATTATGTATGCAATAACTTTTAGGCGGAAAAGAGTTACTTAAAACTTACTTACAACCAACTATTTACCTCGTTTATTTATATGCACTTGGATAAGATCAAAAGATAAGTTATGGATGGTTCATTGACATATTCTTCAGTTTATTTGTCACAATTATATAATATGCATTATCTACTAAGAATCAGCATTCTATCACAACACTCACGGTTTTTTTTTTTTTTAATTTTTTTTAAATTTTTCTACTGCATAATATAACTATGAGAATTTTTATAGACGGTCATCTTCCTTGCCATATAAGGATGCATGTAGTCAACAACTGGAAGATGCAGAAATAAATACGATGCAAAAATCTGACAATATGAAATATCTTAGAAGTGATGGCATGATGCAATCTTTCTGTGGTAGTTTTATGTCAAGGTGAGCTTAATTAAGCGACTTCTTTTATTATAATCAACTTTAGAGGTCTCTGATTTATTTATTTACGTCGAAAAAAAATATGAAAGAATTATGGAAAGAAATATATGTTTCTGTAGTGTATATAAGTAAACGATAAACGATGAAATTTTATGAGATAAAGTGAACAATAAACTTTAATAAAAGACTATTTTATAATAGGACTGATTGATTTGAATCATTTTAAGTTATAGAATGAATTATATATATATAGATTATAAAGTATTTTGTGAGTAAAGAATAAGCGAATAATTTATGGTTAATATTTTAGAAAACGTCCGCTTTCTTATGAAGCTGGTATATATTCAGTTGATAATACAGAGATGTCAGATGTTTGTAGTCCGTTAATTTTGGAGAAATGCAAAATGTCGAAGTACGTACAGAGTTGGTACATATATTCCAATTGTAATAGAATCTAAATAAACAATAGTTGAAATTTTTGGTTTCATGATTTTTATTTGTTATCAATTGATACAAATAATTTAGGAAGAAATTAATGAAGCTTTAAATTTTAAATACTTATAGATGGCCAAAGCTCATCAGAAGTGCGCTTTCTTTATCACAAAATCGCGAACGGGAACAGAAGAATCGGTTCGGTCAGAATTTGAAAAAATGTTTGACAACAAGTACATCCACAAATGCATCTTGGCATCGTTTACCTCATGCACTTTACAGTTCGGACTTATCGATAAATCATGTTGACGAGAGCAACTGTGCCTGATAATCTGTTGTTTAGTTCTATTTTCAATTTTTATTTCAACAGAGTAATATTTAAACAATGAAGGGATTATGCTCTTTCAGATGTTTATATTATTCAGAATGCGATTCCGATAATCTTCTTGCCATTTTATTATTATTATTATTATATGTATTCTACCACATATTCTGCTCAAAAAGTTTGATGCAATCTTTGATCATTCCCTGAAATGTTTATTTATATACATTTTTTTTTCATTAGGATTGTTAAAATGAATTAAATTTGTAAATTATTAATTTTTACTGAACACAATTTTTTTTTTTTTGGATATGCTAATTTCAATGATCTCAAAATAGATTTTTAAGTGATACTTTTTGTATATATTATTTGTGTAGTAAATTGTTTTGTAATCTTTACCATAGCTACCTTCTGCCTTTTATCATTATAGAGTTTCTTGTTGAAAATGAATTCTGATGTAAGAAATTAATTTGTAATCAATTTAAGCATTACTTATCTTGTTATAGAATGTTTCAATCAATGAATTAGATGAAATCTCATGGATGGATTGAAAATTTGACAATAAAATGATTTGAATTTTGTTACTTTTCATTATTCCACTAATAATTACTTAAATAATAGTCAATTAGTTATGAATTATTTCATTCTAAAATGTTAGAAATAAATGAAACTTGTTAGCTAATGGAATTTTTTAATTGTAATTTTTTTTTTCTTTTTATTTATAGGTTTATTAATGTATGCTATAATGTGATAATATATTAAGTGATAATTTTATTGTAATCTTATTTATAAAAGAATAATTAATAAAGTGTAAAACAATGAGAAAATTAGAACAGGTATGATTAAATTTGAATAAAATTAAAAGCATCTTGAACAGTTATTATACTTATCAGTTGATATTATCAGTTGGTAATTGATTAATTTAGAGTAAATAATATTAGCTACATTTATTTTTATCTCTTCTCCGACTTCATTTTAATTCAATTAATTTACTTTAGTTCCATTTATTCATTTGTTTGATAAATAAACATTGAAATTATTCGCAAAGTTGACACAAAATAATTGAAATAAAGAAAAAAATTAAATGAAATTAAAAATTGTTAATCAATGATTCATTTTAACAAATAATCAAAGATTTATTTCTGTTAATTAATACTTCTGTCGTTTTTTTTTTATCCTAACGAACACATTTTAATGATATATTAGAAATTCATTTCATTTTTATTTTTTATTCCATTTTGTTTTAATTCAATTAATTTTCTTACTTTCATTTATTCCACACCAATTTCAATTAAATTATTTTTATTTCAAAAGCAGAAATTAAAGTTTAAAGTTTTATACTTACTTCTTAAATTAGAAAAGAATTTTTTAGTCATTTTTTATATATATATATTATTACTAAAATTTATTTTTCATAATATTTAATGTTTTATTTATTTTATTTATTTATTTTTCTCCTGTATGTAAAAAAAAAATACTTTTAAATGTTTCACTGATTAATTTATCCAATGTTAATTATTCATTTTTTTAATTTATTATTAATTTTTTTTCATTTCCAATTTTCTAATATTTATATTTTATTTATTTATTTAGTATTTTTTCTTATAATATTATTAATTGAAAGTTTGTAATTAATTTTTTTAAGAAAAATATATTTTGTTTACTTGTTTTAATTAGTATAACCTATAAATATAAATAATTAGTATAATCTATAAATATAAACAAATGAATTGTATTAATTTTGATAATAATTATATTTCAAAGTTCAAAAAAAAATTTTTTTTTGCTGTGATATTAATTAAAAAATTTAAATGTTCAATAAATTTAAAAATTTCAAAGAATAATATAAAATTTATTATTTTGCAATTTAATCAATACATATATAAAAATTCTTACAATTTGTGAAAACAAAAACATATTCCAAAATTAGTTTTGATTGATAGATTAATTTAATTTATTGATAATTCGAAAATAATTTTCATTTTTCATTTCAAATTTATTTTATTTCAATTTTCTGAAAAAATAAAAAATTATTAGACATCAAATTTTTATACAATTTTCTTTCTTCTTTTAACTTTCTAAAATTTTTACTTTAAAATGCTTTTACGTTTATTACATTTCAAATATTTATTTTACTTTGAAGTATTTTGCATTAAAATGAAAATGAAACTTTAATTTTTGAAATACGCAAATATTTACAAAGAAACTAAAAAATCTGTCAAATATAATATATAAAATATAAATATTCGTAAAATTAATTACCAAAGAAATATCACATCTAAAGAAAATACTAATTTCTCAAAATTTAAATTTCAAAAAAGGAAAAAAAGAATTTCTAGAATTATTCATTGGACTTTTCAATTTATAGAAATACATTTACTTTTGAATTTTTTTTTTTAAATTTAAATTCTTTGTTTTTCAAAATATTATTTTTGAAATTATATATATGCTTCACAAGCTTTTTTTCTCTCTTTTCTTCGTCTTTTTATTGTTCCGAAAAATAAAAAAAAAAAAGAAAAAGCACTTTTTTATTTTTTTACAAACTTTAAATAAAATCATTTTTTTTTCTCATAAGAAAAGAAAGAATTATTTCTGAATTAAATTATTTCTAAATTTAAATTAAACGGAATAATTTAAACAGCTAACATTGTTATCATGCAATCTGCTTTGATTACAACTAAATTAATACATTGCTCAAAATATTTGAGTAATTTTTAAAATAATAAATAAGTAAAAATGCATTTACAAATAAATAATAAACAAACAAACAAACAAATAAACAGTAAATAAATAAATTCATCTTTTACTAATCATTATCAATATTCGTTATCACTTTTGCTATAACCTTTCAACCGCTATCATTATTTATATTGCCATTTATTTCTCTTATCAGTTACTACAATTTTCACAGAAAATATCTTAGGTAAACTTTCTTGTATGTATTTAGAATTTAGAAAATGAATAATAAATTAATTCTATAGATTATCACATTCTTATCAATAATTATTCATTATCTAGATTTGCTGATAATTATTACTAAATAAAAATAAGGAAACTATAATATAATAATAATTTTTTTCTTTCATATATTGAGAATAATTTCTTAAAAGCATAATTTTACTGATATATATGTATAAACATAGAAAAATTAAAATTAATTAAAAATTTTAAAAGTGGGAGAAAAAAAAAAGAAAACCTTTTGAAATGTAAAAATAAATTTATAATGCATAAATAGTTAAATGTATTTCTCAATAATTGTGTCAAAATTAGAAAATTTGATTGAATAAAATTTGAAAAATAAAAATTTGTGATAAAAAATTGATGTGAAAAGATATTAAATATAATAAAGAATATATGTTAAAATTTGTTTATCCTTGTTTTTTTTTAATTTTTCTCATTTTTTTGTGTCCAAATTATTATTTTCTTTTTTTTACTCTAATTATGAGACGAATGAATTTTACTGACAATTTTTTGCATAATTTATCCATCAAATTGAATTATTCATCAAAAAATTTCAGTATTTTATTTGAAAAATTGTTAGGAAAAAAAAAGAAATTATTATTTTTCTCATTGCATTCTTTCTCATTCATTCCTACAATTAAAAAAGAGGAAAAAAAGAAAAAGAAGTACAAATTTATAATGAAAAGGAAAGAAAAACAAACATGAAGTAGGTTAAAGGTTAAAGGTCTTGTTAGTGTGAATAAAAAATAGAAAACAAAAAACAAAAAAGAAAGAAAAAATGATAACAAATGAGGAACTAAATGTGATAATGATGATGATAAAGTGAGATAATTAATGAAAATAAATGTGAAAATATTATCAAAATTAGTAATATAAAATAGCAATGATACTAATCTTACAATAGTACAACAGTTTTAATTTGATATTATCATTATTTGCAAGTAGTACTTGTGGAAGTACTGATAATTATGTTTTTCCGTGTAGTACGTGTTCGTGACGGAAATATACTTCCTAAATGCATTAAGTTTTTATTATAAGTAAGAGAAAAATTGATGTCAGACCATTTTATTCCATTATAAACTTTAAGTTTAACTGCAAAACTATCAATCGATAGATGATCATTCGAGAAGTATCTGCAAAACTATCAATCGATAGATGACCATTCGAGAAGTGTCTGCAAAACTATCAATCCATAGATGACCATTCGAGAAGTATCTGCAAAATTATCAATCGATAGATGACCATTCGAGAAGTATCTGGAAAACTATCAATCGATAGATGATCATTCGAGAAGTATCTGCAAAACTATCAATCGATAGATGATCATTCGAGAAGTATCTGGAAAACTATCAATCGATAGATGACCATTCGAGAAGTATCTGCAAAACTATCAATCGATAGATGATCATTCGAGAAGTATCTGCAAAACTATCAATCGATAGATGACCATTCGAGAAGTATCTGCAAAACTATCAATCGATAGATGATCATTCGAGAAGTATCTGGAAAACTATCAATCGATAGATGATCATTCGAGAAGTATCTGGAAAACTATCAATCGATAGATGACCATTCGAGAAGTATCTGCAAAACTATCAATCGATAGATGATCATTCGAGAAGTGTCTGCAAAACTATCAATCGATAGATGACCATTCGAGAAGTATCTGCAAAACTATCAATCGATAGATGATCATTCGAGAAGTATCTGGAATTAAAGTTTTAATTAAAGTTCACAGATGAATGAGAAGTATCTGGAAAACTATCAATCGATAGATGATCATTCGAGAAGTATCTGCAAAACTATCAATCGATAGATGACCATTCGAGAAGTATCTGCAAAACTATCAATCGATAGATGATCATTCGAGAAGTGTCTGGAAAACTATCAATCGATAGATGACCATTCGAGAAGTTCTGCAAAACTATCAATCGATAGATGATCATTCGAGAAGTATCTGGAAAACTATCAATCGATAGATGACCATTCGAGAAGTATCTGGAAAACTATCAATCGATAGATGATCATTCGAGAAGTATCTGGAA